TTTTGTTTTCTGGCTGTGATAACAGATAGGGCTGGGCCCCCGTGATTAATAGCTGAAGGGAGGGTATAAGGCAGACAGAACCAGGCTCTTTTCAGTGCTGTCCAGTGACAAGGCAAGAGGCAATCCCTTCCAACCTCAACCATTCTGTGAGTAGTGGCAGGATGTTCATATGCTGATTTAACAGAAACTGAATCCGAAGTATGAACTATCTGCATTTATTATAATTTATGATAGCAGTTGGTAGCCGAAACATTTGTGACATTTGTCACAACATTTGTGACATCCTGTACATAGTAGTATTATTTTCACTGATTCAAAGCCTTGCTTCCTTGAAGGTAAATAGAATTTGTAGCTCAACTTGTTCAACCTGCTTTTAAGTAATGCTGTACATTTTTGCAAAGATATAAAATTAAATAGCATGAATCCAAAGCATCTGCATTAACCACAGTGCAATACAGCTAACTAACATAAAACAAAGTAAAAAGCCTAAAGGACTAATCAACTCGGGAAACCAAGTTCAATACTGTAACGGTAATGAGGTTGATTTCAAATTGTGGCCGGAAGTAAAAAAGAAAAAAAGACTGTTTCCGATAAGCAATACAGTAGCATAATAAATACTGCACAGGTTTCTTTACAGGGAAAGACTGTGTTGCACATGCTACACAATTTTTGGTACCACTGAATGTTGGTACTTAACTAGTAAGGAATATAACTACAAAATTCAGGTTTGGATGAAAACCAGTAGTAAGAAAAAATTCTCATTTTTGGAAGACACTTTAAATTACTTAAATGGGTTTTTTTAGGAATTGTTTTCTAATAAATCGTATTTGTGACCACTCACGTGGCTGATTTCATACAAAAATGTACCATATTACTGAATACAATATGTTTAGGATAGTTGTTTATATCCCAAAACACTAGTCTTTGTGTACAGTGAGGAAGTAGGCATTTTTGGGCCATCCAGCATATCTAATAACTGCAGTATCAATATTGAAACTTGGGGGTTTTAACAGAAATAGAGTGATGTGAAAACTGGTAATTGCAGATACAAAAGACTGTAAGTTAGGATGCTTCCTGGGTAGTATGTGGAAAACCAGAGACTTTTCCAAAGAACATGGCTTAATATAATTTTTCCAGTAACAGGAGTATTCTCCAAAGGAATCTGCACTTGGTGACACAGAGCAATCAGAGAGACAGACCAGCATCTTCCACAATGTGTGCACCTAGGACTACACAGTTAAGTGCTGTGAATACTTCTGACTGTGTTAATGACACTTTGAACACAAAGAAAGGAAAACTTTAGGGGCAAGTAGAGAGCCACTTTTAAGAATCATAGACTCCTGACCATTACTGGCTTGTTCAAATCCTTTCCAACTTAGTAAGGCCCTCAGTGCGTCCTAGCTAAGAATAATACTATGAAGAAAGATGATCCAGCATATTGAACATGTCAAAACTATGACTTTTAATCCTCTAATGTTAATCATTGCAGTGAATAATTTATGGAACCCAAGAAATAATGTGTTCTCTCAACAGAATTTTTCTTCTTTTAGTCAGGCCTGGATTGTGCTTTTTAAGATTCCTTTATATCCCTAGCATATATTTGTCAGCATAATTAGGTCTCTGCTAAAAAGACAAAAAATACCATCTATAGAATAGAATAGAATAGAATCATCTAGGTTGGAAAAGACCTTTAAGATCATCCAGTCCAACCATTAACCTACACTACCAAGCCCACTCTAGACTAATCAAGGGTAATCTAGAAATGTAAATATCTGCATAGGAAAACTGTAACTTTGAAAGGCACCTGATAATATTATATGTACAAATCAAGCTGTAATTCACTGTGATTTGTACATTTAAATTCCTCAGGCCCTTCTGAAAACCTCATCTTAGCGTATCTCCTGCTTTATCTATTTTTTATCTATTTCTATCATGGTTTTTATTAAAAAAAGTAATAGCTATTTCTCTATCTATGATAAATATCTATATAATTACTATAGACACATCTTAATACCCAATACCTAGTATACATCATATATGCCGTCACACAGGAACTTTTAAATCAGTTACTTCTATTATTATCACTATCATTATCATTATTATTGTTATCCAATAGACACTAGGCTTCATATGTGTAATCAAATTTTGCAGTTAATGAAATCCATTAGTAAATAATATTTATAATAGTATCTTTCTTTTTCACGTCATTTTGATTCATATTTCACACTTAATATAAGGAAAACTAAACATAACTAAATACAAAATGACTTTGTGGGAAGAACTCCTTATAAATGTCTCTGGCTTCCCTACAATTCATGTCTGTCTAACATTTAATTCAGATAAAAGGCAGGGTTAACTGTGTCCAATTGGTATCAAACCTGATAATCTCTTCCTGTCCTGGAGAACTGCTCTTATCATCAAGAGCAACCCCAACGGAGAATAAGGATAAAGTACAGAAACTCTGTGCAATCCTACTGTCAGTTTAAGTCTCTGACAGGGGTCAGTAAGTAAAAGGATGAGACAGTGACACCAAAGTGCTCTGTGTCTCCATTAGGCCTGTTGAACTGCACTGACATTTAAGGATGTCATGGGAGCATGCTCCTCTCCTGACTGCGCAAATTGTCAAATGTATTAAAACATACAAAGAAAACTGCTGTAGTTTTGTTATTAACTTACAGAATGGCATACGTGCATTGATTAGTCCTATCTAGGAACTACAGAACAATATAAACAATTAAGTCTTGCTTATTTATTTACATTTTAATTCTAAAATAGTTATTGAGGTTTATACTAGAATTTTATTAAAAATAATAAAAATTCTGCTAAAACGGCTGGCTAGTAATTATGCAAAGAGCCAGCCATACCTGAAAAATTACCTGAAAAAATTCTTCTCAAAACTGGTTTTGATGACAACAAAACTAAAATAATTGAAGCGAAAATAAAAATATTTTGAAGAGTTTTATGCAATTTGGTAAATTAATATTTACCAAAAAAATGTAAAAACCCTGATCACAACATTTGTAATTACAATTAACATGCTGAAATAATATCAGTTCGAAAATAATACATGAAGAGTCAAATCATTTATTCAGTACCAACTTCACAGACTCTCATAACAATTCCCCCTGTTTTGCCATTTTGCTACGAGAATACAAATTATTTGTTTAGTTTTTGAACCTGTATCTTTTGCTGAAAGTCTCTAGCCTGCAACTTATAAAACAAAATAAGGGGAATGAAGGACAACTATGACACCTGCTTCATAAAAGAACGTATATGTAGTGTCTACCAAGGCATAAATTCAGACTTAAAACAACACGCTATTCCATTTTCTTGTACACCATATTTGATTGTTCCCACACATATTCAAAATTGTCTGCCATACCATAATGAGAATATGTTACTTTTAAATTCTTAGCATCTGTTCTAAAACTTTCACCCTGAAAGGTGTCTTAGGCTATAATAATGTATTGTATCAATCCAGAGATTTTGTTATGCCCTTTAGTATGAATTCTGTGCTGCTAATAAATTCTTAATTTCAATTGCCCATGTTTCATAAAATGTGCATCCTGTATCTCTCTTCTGAATACAAAAGGTATTAATATTTAATTTTAAAGCATAACGGGTACATAACCTTAATCAAACAATGTATTTCATATCACTATGTGCAGAGGAGGACAGGATTTTACAGAAATTTTACAGGAACTTCACTGAACTTGCATTTTTATCTAGTAAAATATTTTTTTCTTTTATATACATATAAAATAAATAATTATCAGTGCACTCATTAAAGAAACAAATATAGTAAATTAATACGTTCCCAAAAGAATAATAATATTTTGCAAAGTTTCAAATGCCTTCATATGTCTGTTTATTGAAGAGTAGCTATGTTAAAGCTATTAATAAATATTGTATTTATTTCTTAGGTCTTCTGGGTTGGCAAATCTCTCCATTCCTAACATCCAATTACAACTTTGACCATTTCTCATTTTCCTTTCAGATTTGTTTCCTACATCATAATGCATTGCTTGCCTGCCAAAAAGATGGAAAACACAACTGTGTACTGAAGTCACTTTCAGAACTCCTCAGGAAATCACTCAGCCTATAGTCTGCAACCTTCACTTATCTTTCTGTACCACAGATCCTATTCAGACTTCGGTCTTCCCACTGGAGAGACTTTTTGCGTTCAGTGTCTCAGTCTAAAACAGGCTCACTCAAGCTATGTTGCAAATGTAGAACAAATGTATCTAGAAAATACCTAGCAAAATAGAACAATGATGAAATATAAAAGAAGTATTTTTTTTTGTTTTCGTTTTTTGAAGACCTTTGCTTCATGAATTTGAAGAACAGTTTAAAGAGATGATTTTCCAATGAATTTTATTATATATTATATTTCAAATTTATATCCTCTGATTGGCTTCTACAGCATTAGACTCTTCTCTAAGCAAAAATAATCTCCTTTTCTCCTGGATAAAATTCAAGAGCTTTGAATATAGCAGCCTGTCCATAAAGCAGCCTGTCTAAAAGAGACTGTCACAAGCTTATGAACTCCGGGAGGGGTAGAGACTTGTTGGGGATTAGTAAAACAGAGAACTAGGAAAAAACCAGAAGACTTTGTTGAATCTTAGAAGGGTAAGCTCAAGACTGAGCTGTTGCTCAAATCAATCCTTACATTATCCCACTGAATACTTCTCACCCACAGCAGTCTAGCCTGAAGATTTGAAGTTATTAAGCTTAGCCTTAAATAGTGGGTAATACCACTGGAATATGATCTCGGATGAAGTTCTGTCTTGCTTAAATCACCGACAAATGTCTTGTCAACTCCAGAAAAGACAGGATTCCTCCATGGAATTCAGTATCACTAACTACAGAAGGACATACTTTCTTAAATTATGCAAGTTTAAACATGAATTACCAGGAAAAACTGGCCTTCCATTAAGAATGTACTTTTTTTTTTTCTTTTAAAACAAATTTAAAAGAGAAAACAAAATATTAGAACTTACATTCAATATCAAGGTACATGCTCTTTTGGTGCCCACCAATTCTACTTGCAGCTTCACAGTCATATCTCCCTGAATCTGACAACTTCACATCTTTAATATGGAGTGACGATTTTCCATGCTGCCCTTTGACTTCTATACGGCCATCTGGGCTCTGTTTACATTGATTCAGGAAAAAGAAAGGGTTTATATATATATGTATATTTATGTATGTTTTATATATTAAACACAATTGATAAGTATGACTGAGAGCATCTCTTCACCTATGGTGAAGTTATTACTGACAGCTAAGCAACGTCTAAATTTGTCAAGTAATTAAAAAAATATAGAAAAAGATGTTCTATTTCTAGGCACTATAATCAAGGGAATAAGTACATGCTTAAAGGAACATTGTCAAGGTAAACCACAAAATGTATCCACTTATGACTGGAATAGTGAACTGCATACTCAAAACCCGTTTATGAGCTCACTCATTTTGTTATGATGCTGCAGTTAATGAAAACACATACACGTAAAATCATAGTATCTTAGATCACAGTTAGCATTATCTCTCTTGTCCTTAAAAATGTAACTGTGAAACTGAATAGAAATACACCCCCAACAATGATCAAAACACAAATCCAGTCATAGATTTATTTTCATTATTCACATTTTCTTGTCACAAGCTCACAATTGTTAAAAACCATGATCCATAAATGCAACTGGTATTTCTGGATTTCATTTCCGTATCATTTCATGGAAAAAGGCAAGGGAGGAAAATGAATGCTGGCTTCTGATTTTCTAGAACATAAATTTTATATTTAGCAACTTCATAAAAATTCTTATCCATCACACGTCTCCACCCCCTCCCCAAAAACTTTCAAGAGTATAAAATATTAGGGAAAACTAAATAAAAAAAAAATTAAAAAATCCACTGTGTGACGCTTCAGCTTTCACGGACTAGTATACCTGAGGAAAAAAAAGTTATTTTTAATATGGTTCTGCTCTTTACTTGTTTTGTAGCTTTGGAAAACTTGCTTTACTTCTTTGTTACACTTTTTTCATTTGAGGAAAAAAAAAGCTGATAAAAAATACTGATACTTACCTACTTTCATTATTGAGGAAGTTGGAAAAAGGAGGGAAAACCAGTAACTATTTCTCTGTATCACATTTAAACTTGAAACATACCTTAATGTCCAATCCTATAAATACATACACTCAAGTTTACTGCTTTTTACACTAAATACTCACCAAGTGGCAGCTGATATTTAAGTGACTAAGCTTTTAACTCTGTACAATTGTTTCTTCACTGAATACAGGAAAAATGCACACAATTTAGAACTTAAAATATCTGACATAAAGCAGTCATATAAAGCATTCTGTATATCATAATTTCTATGGAAAGAATCCACATCAGAATCCAAGAACACTGAATTTTGTTTCCTATGAAAACCTCACAGCATAGGTACATAAATTAAAGTTACGGAATTCTAATGCAAGAGCAAACCTAAAACCCTCTGGATTGGTAAAAAATAGTAACTACAACCACTTAGTTTTCTCTTATGTCATTTCCAATGCTGAAAATTCTATTTTCATTACACCTTTAAAA